GATCGATATGTCGATACCCCACAAGAATTAAAATAAAAATCCTCATCGTCTCCCTTGCGCAACAATAACAACCTTAATTCTCTTAAGCATTGAGTTCATCACAACATTTATCTTTCTCATAGGATTATTCTTCAACCAATGGTTAGGAGTAGCTGTAACATTTTAAAGTCAACAAATCCCCCCGCCCAACGAATCTCCCGAATTTTCGATTTAGGATAGAATTTACAGAATCCAGCTGGTTTGGTACATGAGAATGTTTGTAAGAAAGTCTCGTCAAAACTGGCTACTTTTTCCCAGTGTGAACATGCTTAAAACACAACGCATACGACGCGTACGTGTGCGTGTAAGGGTAAATTTGACGTAAAGTTGCCAAGCTTGCGGACCAAATTAGTGCAGAAGGTTTCTGCCAGTTTTAGGATGAAAATTATTAGTATGATTGTCTACTGTATAAATATCGGTTTCAGTGATAATGCCTCGACGATAACAGAGGTTGCATGATGGAAAAACCCTACCTTGATGTGACGTTGTTACGCGCCAACGTCACCTTTATGGTTGGTTAGAATCTTTTCAAGTTACTCCTTGAAGCCGAAAAAAAAACTTTTTGGTTGAAAAGTTAAAAACAAACTGCACAGCAATATGTTGTTGCCTTTTTATTCACTTATGCAGTTGAATTACCAGACCTAATGTAACTTCCGACAGACATACCATGATTGCAAGAAATTTATACTGACTGTAAATATGCAAAAACGATGTCTATAACTCAAATGTATCTTTTGGCACTACAAATTGTGATCACAAAATTGTCAACATCAATATGCGCTTGTATTTTGTTCTTTTTTCACTTTTCCCACGTTACGCCATAAATTTCATGATTGAGTAGTTTTGACAAGCGATCTGAATGCAAAGCAACCAAAATTTGACCAATTTTCATAATTTTTGGTCACATAGTCGAAGTTTTTTCGCACATTATGTTCACAAGCGTTTCTTTTTTCCTTTCAGTATCTATCTTTAATGTTTCCCTCACGCATCTGTCACAGCCTTGATTTTCATTTCCCTGAAGTTCATCAGAGTGCTTATCATTTAGGGATATCAACCCTTTTAACAAGGCAGCCATTAGTCGAATTAAATTACATGTACCAGCTTTGGTATTTCGAACCCGATCATCACTTACATGTAGTCCAACAGATGCTCAATGAGAAAAAGAGGGAGTTTACAGAGACCAGTCGTGTGGGTATATGTGACAGTTTTAGAGTAAGCTTTGATTAACCTTGATTATAATTTGCCGGGGATAAACACGCCAAAAAATTAGGCAAATGACATGCTCTTGCGCCAGTGAGAGGAACATCAACGTAAAATTGCCCAGCTCAAAAATCTAAAGCACAATCAGTTTCTTTTAGTTTTAGGTAAATGTAATGTTTATAATAGCCTACTATATTAAAAGCAGTTTTTGTGTTACAAAGTTGGCGATACAACATGCGGCAGGATAATTTAACTTATCTTAACGTGGCTCTGTTACGCGCCAACGTCAGCGTCACGGTGCATGGTTGAAAGACATTTCAGACATTCCTTGACGACGGAAAAGTCGTTCTATCGGGGAAAATTTACAAGAATCTGAACAAGAACCCGATGTAGCATTTGTTCTTACTACTTCATTGTAAAAGCCAGATCCCATACATGTAGAACTTTCGTTGACTGTATCAAAATTACATCGCCCGCGTGGCGCAGTGGGGTTAGATCGTGTGCTGCAGAGTCGTGATATAAGGAGTTGATACTAACGTCGCGGGTTTGAATCCAACTGTAGGACGTGGAGACTGGTCCTTCGGATGATACCGTATAAACCGAGGTCTAATGTCACAGTAGGTGCTGGCACAAAAAAGATCCTTCCCTGCTCAATGGCCCTGAGTGCCGACACTACTGAACGAAAAAAGTGCTGAGAATCCCAAATTTTACTGATAATGTTTGATAAATACTGATACGGTGCTGTTCTTGCTGATAATTACTGATATTTACTGTTATTTTTACTGTTGTTGCTGATAATTTTAGTTGTTGCTGAGAAACACTGATAATTACTGTCGTCTTTACTGTTGAGTCTGAGAAATACTGATAAATACTGTTGATGTGTTGTCGTTGCTGAGATTTACTGATAATTACTGTGGCCACTTTTTTAAGCTGGGAAGGAGCTAAAACAGAATTAAGGGCTTTAAAAACCTTCAATTATTACCTTCTTTCATTTAAAGCCCGAGATAATAAGCACCGCCCTCGGATTTACCTGGTCTCTATCCCCCTGTCAATCAACTGAATTAAGGTCCATCATTGGGTACTTGAAATTGATTGACATTTAGCTACTAGTCCCTGTGTATATCTCTTTCACCTTGTTTGACACGCGTGGCCACCATCAAATTAACTTTCGGTCTTCTGATGTTTACCGCTACATTACCATCGCAATAACGGAAGCCATTTCGATGCAAACAATTTCAGCCTGATAATTATTTATTGTTTGTATTACAAACATGTCATTAAAAATGAATTTTTATCTCAGTGTATTTCAATAAAATAAATCAAGATTGTGTATATTTTTACTAATGAAAATTGCATAGGTGAATGAAATCTTGTTTCCACTCGTAAAAATTAGAATGATTCTTGTTTTGAGACGCGGTGAAAAATTACGATGAAAATAAAGGAGAAAAAATAATCTGGTAAGACTTTTTGCATGTAATGTGTAGTAAGGATGGAAACAAAATATCTGATAAGTAACAACTTCGCCTGGACATGTATCAAAGTATTAAGAGTTTCTTTCTTTCTTTTCCTTTTTATAACTGAGCATTTCTTGCTTCGTGGGTTGCATTGTCACCTCCGTTCAAAGTCACAGGTGTTAAAAATAGTTTTGAAAGAAATACATATGTTAGCAATAATTTATTATTTTGTTTTAAGTTGTTTAATTATAATCTAAAATTACACACATACTTGTATGTGATTTTTACTTTTCAAAACCATCATCGCAAATTTTTCACAATAGGATACAGAATGTACATTTGCTAAAAATAGGACCACGCGACTTTTTATACAAACGGAAATAAGTAACTGTTACAATTTGACCGTGATCGAAGCTCTAATTGCTACTACATGTACGATAATTATGAATAGTTTTTTAAGATTCTGAAATTACGAAATTTTACAATTATCATTAATTACTATCGATATTTTTTATTGTGATATCGAATTTTACTAATTTTATGATGAACAGTAGGCCATCAAGCTGTACAGGTAATACCCATGGACTTCCTGTGTATACTCTTTGTGTATAGGGATTAGCGCTTCCCATGGTCTGCACGACCGTCAATGCCTCGGGGTGCCACGCATGTAAAATTTAGTCCCTCCCCTTACCCGAGAAAACCGTACGGTTAAAAATCTCGGCCTTTGAATAATCATGACGACATTGCCCTATTTCTTCTTAAATGTTCTACTAATGACAAAAATTAAACACAGATCTCAATTCATTACTACGATACTGTTGTGAAAATGCTGACAATTAATTAAATGAAATCTTAAGCGTATATTAGGCAAATGTTTTCTCCAAATCTATGAAAATAGTATGATTTGTCTTTAAGCTAGATGAAATTTTTATTGGATTAATTATTGTATATTTTACTGAAGATATAATTTATAAAAATTTCTGTTATTAATAAAAACAACATAAAACCATCTTTTAAAAAGTTAATTTCATCTATTCAGACTCTAAAATAGGGTAGGTAGGTCAGTGATGTTTATTAATCAATAATAAGAAATAATTCTTAGTGGATGGGAAAAAAATCGGGATAAAATATGTTTCTTGCAGGTTAGAAAAGCTTGATTCGTACCGTTTTCACTCGGTCAACTGGTCAAGAGAGGACATCTATCACGGTGTGATTTTTGTTGACGGAAAGTTTGACACTTATTTTCCCCGGTGATACATCGTTCGCTTTTTAAAGATCACTTTTCATAGAGCTTTTTTTTCTAAAAGAATTTTTTTATATTTTACGTGTTAAGTTTTCTGGTTTCTTATTGTAAATTATTTTTAATTTTCTCGAAATTAACAAAATTATACTTTTTAAAAATTATGTAATTTAGAGATAAAACGGGCGAAAATTATGTTCATTCAGGAGGCACAGCTTTCTCTTCATTTATTTTGAGTTTTATTTATTTATCTTTTTATTTATTTTTGCAGGTAATGTAGGTGTTTGTAGGCCGGCCCAGAATATAACTCTTCTGCATGCACATGCCTTGTAGATTGTTCACACACCACATGTGCAACCAACAGATGGGGGCTGATTAAAATTTAGTGGTCATAATCCCTAGTGCCGGTATACATGTAAGTGCAGAGGTGCACAGGTGTTTAATTATAAAATTATGATATTGATGATTTATTAAATTTAATGACATACAAAACAATATTATTCATTATTTTTCAAAATCTCATTGTTTTTTTTTTTCAGAAAACGTATATTCCATGTGAAATTCAAAAAGTTATCATTTTCATAGTTCAGAAAACGTTTCTTTTACAATTATGAAAAATACTGAAGCATATAACTTGGACTTAATGAATAATAAAAATTTAATATACATTGTACTAAGAAAATTTACCTTTCAAGGGGTGACAACGGGCAGCTGGTAATAAGTAAGTTAATTTTCCCGCACTGACTGAGATGGGCCCGTGCCTCAGTATATATAGCAGAAAAACCGGTTAAACAAGGGGTACAATTTACTGGCCAATGAAATTTTGTGAGTTAGAATTTATGAATGGAGACTACTACCAAATATGGCATAAAGTGAACTATGATCCAGTAAGTTATTAAGGAGAGATTTTAAAAAAATATTTTAAATAAATCTGACCCTGCCACATATATTTTTTTGGAAACTTGTTTTAAATTTCTCTTTTTATGAGACAATAAAAGGTTTTATTTCCTTTTGAACATCTACATTTTTTAATGATTCATGCTAGTGATCGAAAGTTAAAAACAAACCTGAACATTTATTTTTAATTCGTTGGAAATAATTTAAACAGCATCCGAATTCCCTGAAATATAGTATAGTGTAAATAAAGTGAAATATGGTATTAAGTTATGTAAATTAAAATATGTTAAGATAGAGTTATTTTATAAGTTGACTTGGTTAATAACCTCTTTAACAAAATAATATTACAGAAAGATTCATACCCAATTTTTCCAAGGCACACACCAGTTTTAGGAAGACCTGAGTGAAATGGAGCACTTTCATAAGTATGTTTAAAACTATTGAATTGAAATATGTGGAGATGAAAAACAGTTTTTGAGCTCAAAAGTCCGTAAAATATTACAAATAAAAAAGAAGCGAAGCAGACTCCAAAGATGGGATCAGGTGTCTTAATTTTTGTTAACTATATAAGTTTAAGACAATATGATTACGCGTCTCAAAAGTCTATCGTAAGCACAACAATTTAATAGACAATAGTTATTTGTGTGGACAAAAACTCATTTATCATTAAAAGCAATTAACATTAATTTTGCAACATTGTTACTTGTAGAATATATGCGACTTGACCAACTACTCATGACAAAAGAGTTACTTGGATCAGATAACTTATCCGAAAATCATGAATGTTAGTACAATTCAAAGGAAAAAGAGTAATGTAACGTACATCCTAGTACATGATTACATGTTTCATTAGATTTGCAGTTACAACTTCGATCACATAATTCTCCATAAGTATTTTTGGGACACTGCTGTGAGCAATTCTTGCCAAACCATCCACTTGGACAAACTAAAAATGGAATAAATGATATTATTTCTCTTCCATTGGTGCTGTTGTTTTGTATTAACCTGTAAAATCTAGCTTAAAGTTAGTTAATTGACTTAAAGCTTCGGACTTGTTAAAATTACAAATCAACATAAATTGCAGTTTTATTAATTTCAAGTAGCAAAATTGTGTTTGATTTAAACTAGTTTTTTTTCCATGTAAAATTGTGTACTTTCATTATGTTTGTGAATTGATTGTTACCTTTACATAATCCATTTTCTTGGTAGTAGTTAATACAGCATTCCTTCTCCGCCCTATGAAAAAAAATAAATGCTAGCATTTCCATTTTATAAAAATAAATTTAATAAATTGAAAGTGTTGGATGTTGCCCATCTTTGGCACTTTTTAAATCTGAAATATACAATCTGTTTACTTTATAGTTTTGTACCATGCGTTTCTCATTGCATTAAACTGTGAGATTAAGATTTTATGATGGTTTCTCCTATATGCGATTATTTTAATTACCTTATGCGTTAAATTGTGTGTGGTATTGTTAATACTCTGTGTTGTAATACTTAGAATACTGATTGCTTCGTCATTTATTTATGAATAAATGACCATTCAATTCCAACCTTGGGTTTTCATTTGTGACAAACATAGCACCGCGTATATCAGGTATTCATTTAGCATTTATAAACGGTTATCACATTAGGAAACATTTTGTACTAACATGTTTTGATCTTTATTGTTTGGATAATCAGTAACTTACTAGTAAATCAATTCAAAGTTTATATACTTCGCCCTTTAAGACTATGATGCATTTTTATAATGAAAAGGCAACTTTGTTTAAAGGAAATAAAAATTTTCAAATATATTTTTTTTTAAATTGGGGAAGGCTATAGAAAGAGTTTTTGTTTGATATTGATATACTATATACAGCCTTCGTGCAATGGCCAAGAAAGAAATTCACGGACAAATTGGCCTAGGTGGAATGCGAGAATTTTAAATATCAAAAGATTTTACATGCTATCATTAAAAGAAATGATAAAATTTAATGCTATTGTTACTTGTGACATTACAAAATTTTTCTTTACCAGTTTTTTCAAATCTAAATTTGTGCTCTTGGATAGCTATAACTTTTAAATGAAATAAGATTTTTGTGTGAAATGATTTTTAATAAAAAAAATTAACTTCTTAAATCTGTGTCCCCTTTATTTGTCAAATTTTATGGCTCTCTAGACTAATTTTTAAAAAAGCATTTTTCGATTTCAATACACTTCTAACTGTACACTTAAAAGGAAGGTACGCGATCAATGTTTCAATGAAAAAAGAAGAATCCAGATTTAAAAAAAGTTACAGGGAAATATAATATTCAAATGTCGACCTTGCGGACTACATAACGCAAAGAATGTTTAGTAAGGGTCATTTTCCAATTAAAAAAAGAATAAAAAAATGTTCAAGTTAGATTTATCGAAACATCAATGAGCGAAAAACTCCAACTATAACGAGAGAAAGGATAAACTACCATTTTAAAAGTTATTGAAAATCTTGCGAATAAAAGTTTATTCACCATGTTACCGTATAAAAGTTTAAAATTCAAAGTAAATGCATTAAACCATTCTTAGTACTTAACATACACGCAGAAGGCAGTGTAAAAGTAAACAAATACGTCCTTTGCGTCATGTATGCGTAGTTTGTTTCATTTGCCGAATGCCCTCACATACATGGAATTAACATTAATCAACACTAATCGGCAAAAGATGACCACATACTTTTTTCGTATCTCCTGCACCATGACACTCTTACTTCGATTCAATTCTTTTTCCGCTGTACAATAATCGAACATTTGTACATTCAATAATTGATTTTTTTAAAATGCCACTTGCATTTACTAATTTTTCCAATTACTAAAAAGATAAATGTGAATGTATGCATGTAGTAATGTTTCAAAAAATGTAGACTTCCATACTTTTCACTTCGGAATATAATAAAAATAATTTAATAATTTTTAAAATTATATCTTACGTTTTTGAAGAACACACACCCTTTTCATTATTTGCGATTATTATTCCTTTGGGAATTATCAAATAAACCAGGTAAAGAAATATCAAGCTTAAAATCCTTTTCATTTTAATTGCTTTCATGAAATTGAATTGTAATAATTTATGTTATATTTTGATCAATATATAAAAACAAAATGCATGTACTTACAATAAGGAAATGAACTAAAAAGGAAATGCAATTTGTAATTTGAAGTATTCATAATGGCTTTGTTTAAGATTGTTGATCATGCAAATAAAGATATAAATTCATTTTATGCAAAAATAGCCCTGTTGATATACCAGTTCTAATTTTTTGACAAATACTCAATGCCCCGTGAACATATCAATATACAGTAGTTACCTAGACACTGATAATAGGAATGATATTAAATGCATTGTGAATAAAATAAAGCGGTTTCAATCTTATTAAAAAAGGGGGTCTGAAAAGGCTTGAAAAGGTCTTTGAGCTTTATTTTTTTTTAAATAGTCCAAAAATGTTTAATGTACAATTTATTTGTACAACTATATAAATTTCCTAAGCTTACATTTTTTCCGGAGAAATTCTTTGCAACATGCCATCTATTTTTTTTTAATCATTTACTGAGCCTGGATGATGAACTTGGTGATATTTTTTTATAAATCTTGTGAAAACATATTAATGCACGTACATGTACATTATATATATATATCTGTATATATAAAATATGAAAAACAACAATTATTCTAAAGGAAATCAAATAATTCATGTAACATTTCATTATCATTATTGCTCCATTAGCAAATTGAAGTTTTCGAAATAAGATGTTTAATTGTCATTCTTTTAAAATACCGGTAAGTACTCTCAAACAAGCTTGAACAAGAGGAAAAGTGAGTGTAATTATTTTTCTTCAATTAAACATGTATATATAGTTAAAAACCATGTCATTTACCTTAATAGATTTAGTTTAGAAAATTGCTTCCGTATTGATATTTTGAAAAATGCAGAATTGTCATATTAGTTCTGCTTCGCATATTTCTATTTATGGCTTCACTTATTTTCATATTGTTAATATACAAGATGCTCATTTCTCCATGGTACCTGTTCCCACTTTTGATTTTTTGGAGGTCCGTGTTTGCTCTGCTCCTATTTTGTATTGTTTTATGGACTGTTGAGCTTGAATATTATTCGTTATTTCCATATATTCCATACATTAATTTAAATAGCCTACTTATGCACTATTCACATCAACATGATATAAGACATGATTCTAACAAATCTGTTCAATCATGTATTAATTTAATGACTTTAATTTGTTTGATTTTGATTTTAATGAACAGAGAAGAAAAAATAATATAAACTTAAAGTTCTATGAAATAATAGTTTAACAACTCAATGCTTTTTGTTTTCCCAAAACATTTGATACTGTATATCTGTTTTTAATTTCCTTAAATTGAAATAGTCCCTTCCTTGTTTTAATTCAACTTATATATAGTTTAAAAGTATTTTTAACAATTTTAATTACAGGAGATTTATATAACATTTCAAATTGATAAGACATGCCTGAAAAAAAAATCGTACATCACAATAGGTATAATGTATGAGATTTCTAGGCTGTTATGTAAGAAGTAGAATTAATAATAAAATAAATTGTGTTATAGTTTATAAATAGATTCTGATGAATGGTTTTGTACTCTTCAGCTGTTAGCAAAATTTGTTGTTGTCATCAGTTCATAAGCAGACGGAACTTTTATTTTTATTGTACAGTTATGATTTTAAGTTCCTCAAACTATATCTTACACAATTACTTGTGGACTTTAAGACGTAAATTCAAATCCATTCAAAGTTTTAAATGTACAATGTATTCAGCTCATATTAAGCATGTGGTACATAAATAGTTATCGAGACACTTCCTCTTAGATTGAAAGGACAAGTATTTAATAACATGTAACCGTTCGAATTATCATTTTTTGCATAGAAGGTCAAAGGACAAGTGGACTGCTAAGGCGGAATTTATCTTTTATCATATCCATTGACAAACAATGTAACTGTTGCATAAAACTTGCTCTCTTAAATGTCAAAAAGGCTCTGTATCGTTCTTTTACATATTTCCCTGGGAAAGAGGTAACACTAGAACATTAAAGATCTAGTGGCATTATACACATACGCTATATAATAAATTTATATCTTTTGCAGTTCTCAATACTCCATAGACTCCATGTCTATAATAGTTCTCAAGAGTCGTCCGCGGGACAACGTGGTTAGAGTCTTTGCTCTGGGGTCGCTGAGTAACTGGAGTTAATCCTTACGTTGCAGGTGCAAATTCCACTATGAGAGGTGGAAACCGGTCCTTGGGATGAGACCGTATAAACCTAGGTCTCCCCTTACAGCAGAACAAAAAAACAATCAGATCTTTCTTATATATAAGCACAGAATACGAACATACAGGCAACTAGGCAGATAGAGGAGGCCGAGTAAATTGTTCCTCAAGTGCCGCTTGAACTGCAGAAATTTCGATTCAGGGATGGAATTTTGACAATATTTTAGCCAAAAAAGATTAGTATATAATATACAATAACTTATTATAAATCTTCAGTGCATGTACGAACATATAGATAAGTGCTCTATGTACTACAAGCACTCAACAGAAGTCAGGCTAGCCACAGATATCAATATATTCATTCGGTACATTATTAATTTGTCTTGTAGTTTCAGCGCTACTGTTTACATGTAATTGTCCAGTCAAGGGTTCTACATATCCTTCATATTCCTCGTCTTTCTGAAGAGCATCGTAATCATCTTGTTCTTCATTGGCTTCTGTACTGAGATTAGTAGTTTGGTCATAGATGTTTGAAAGGCCCTTCCTGAAGCTAGAGAGAAGATATATAGGAAATGGTATAGAATAAAATAACGCTCCGCGTAGTGTAATGAACAAGTATTTCTTTTAAAGGAATGATCGGCACGAAATCATGAAATCATAGTTGTAAAATGTCTTGAAATGAATTTGTAGACATTGATTTCTTTAATTAATGAATTCTAATATTTTTTCCCAAAGACATTTTTCATATATATCGTATATAATAAGTTAAATATTATTTCTTGACTGTACATTCGACCTTAAAAAAAGCTGAATTAAACTGCTTTAAACATACAAAATTTGACATGAAAAAGGGATTTTAACATGACACTGTTTTCACATATGACCTCCTAATGTAATATCCTTTATACCTTTTCGCATATTCCATGAATAAAGACCATATTTTGTACCTGACAAATGAATGGTCAAATACATTTATCCTTGGTAACATTATGAAGACGTTATCAAATAAAAATACTCCTGCAAAGGAATTTACAAAATTTTGATTATTGGCGAATTAATCATTTTACACAGAAATTTTAACTTTTTCTTTCTTTTCGGCGAGGACAGGTATTTATTCAAAACATTTGTGAGGTGCGAAATGATCGGCTTCATGTGTTATCAGTAATGTGAATTTTGCTCATTTTATTTTAGTTTCAAACTTATCATGTAATAATCATGCATTTTAACAAGTTTTAACAAGTTTAGAATGATTTAAAGTTGTTTAAAATTTCTTCATCTTACATTAAAGTTGACTCATAAAACCTTCTTTATCATATACCTCAGTTTCACTCAGTTAATTTTGTAAACGATTAATTTATCACCTTCTTATAGTTTTATTTCTCAGAACTAATTAGTTACTCAAGAGCTTGTTCTTAGTACAATCATTTTTAAAGCAAAGCATGCTACTCACTAATAAGTGGATGTCACAGGAACTAAAACAACCTCGTTTAAAGTCAGCATTTCGTAAATTGTATCTTTCTTATTATGATTTTTTAGCAAATATAGACTAACGTTGGGTTTTATTTTGACTGAATCGTTTCAAACCAATTTGCTGTTAGGCCTTTGTTATAAACTGATACGGAAGCTTTTGTCAACCCGGTAAATACAACCGATGCGAGTGTTTATTTATCCCCAGGCACCCGATCCCACCATGAAATTTCTAAAGGTTCGTGTTTAATTCACTTTTTATACATTTAATTTGTACTCTATGAATTATATATATATTTAAAGATTTCTCCCTGTTCTTTCTCTTCAGTTTGTATATTTCTTATTTGCAGGATTACAAGTAGTAATTATGTTCAGTGATATCTATCATCGAAAAATAGTACTGATATTATGCTATGATTTGTCAACCATTTTTATGAGGAATAAATGTCTGCATCTTTGGATAAATGCAACAAAATATTGGTTTTTAGTATTAAACACCTTTTGAAAGATTTACATCAAGCTGTCAGTGTATCGAACCATAGTGACGGTAAACAAAAAAGAGCGTGTAATAGGTGCGCAGATTCTTCAATCTGTCGGATACTTCATGTGGAATCAATTGTGATCGACCGAAGCCGATCACAAAAAGTACTTTAAATTGAAATGTTCTGAAAATTTGTGAAAGATATATTAGGTATTCTACTACTAAAGGGATCCACAAAACTAAACCCCACAGGGAAAATAAACTCACCATTTCATTAATTATATGTTCATTTAAAGGTATGTGATTGAGTTGTATTCATTTTATTACACGTTCCGTAAACATTCAACCATCAGATAAATGAAATAAATTTTTTAAAAATGCATACAGTTAAATTGTTTTCTCCCTAGAAATTTTTTTTTATTATATATGAAATATTTCTTTTACCAAGAGAGGTGCAATTTATAACCAGCGGGAATAGGCGTGTCAATGAACAAACCTGTGGCCCTTTCTGTAAAGGATTCACAAGATATTAAGCGAAATATATTTCGAGAGTATTCTCATCTTTGTTTTTGACCTTAAACACTCCAAATGAAAATTGATCACCTTTTTATCTAGGTACAAACGTAAAAACTTTATCGAAAAGCGAAAGAATTTCAAGATATTAAGCGGATTTCATTAAAATAAGAGCACTGTGATTGAATAATGAAATGAGACGTTGATGCCTCAAAATGTGCGAGGTTTAATTTACGTCAGTCAAAGAGTTCTAATTTTCAAGATATTGTTCAAAGTTTAAGATTCCTCGGATGTCGCGAGTTTGATCCTTGATTTTGAATAACTTTAAAGCATTTTACTAAGTTTAAAGCCATATATGGCGTATGTACAATGAAAATTATCAGACTAAAATTATAAGAACTTATTATTTGTATCATTACTTTATATAAAGATAGAACTTTTCTGTAAATTACAAAATCCAAGTCAATTGCGTTATAAAGATATCACAATTTAATATGGATTCTCGGAATTTTCTCCGACTCGGAAGAAAATACAAAAGAGTTAAATAACACATAACAGGAATTTACAATATTTTGATTATTGACGAATTAATCATTTTACACAAAAATTTTAATATTTTTTCTTTTCGAAGATAAAATCGTATTATTAGATGAAATATATTTAACGAGGTGTTCTCCGTTTTAGAATTGTATGAAAAGCTTTAATTCTAATGTATTAACTATATTTCTTTATTTAATTTTGTATTTTTCAGAAATATATTTTTTTGATCAGTTACGCCATATGTGGCTTTAAGGTTTGTAAGCTAAAGAATTCTCTTCATTAATATTGAACATACAAAATCGTGGCCTAATTATGCATAAATTGAAACGATTATCTTGAATTTATTATTTTTTAACAGGATAATATTTTTGGACAACAGATGAGTTACAGCTTGAACGAAAAGTGAAAAATCATTTTAAAATATGTAAGAACGTAAAGCGAAAGAAGAAGTCTGGTTTATTTTCCATTTTTCAAAACTGGACAAGGATATAAGTAATACATTGAACCAAACTTCTAAGTGTTCACCTAGCATATTTTTTAAGTTTTAAAGAACAAATGCATACAATAAATAATTTCTTTAATTCATGGCTAATGATGCATATTTCAGTTCGACGTTGCGAAAATTTCATGTAAGTATCTCGTCAGAATTTTAAGCAAACAGCCAAGGAAATGATGTACCCTCAAAATGAAAATTCACATAAAATAATCTCTATGGAGTAAGACCACCACTCGGTCTAATTACTGATGGATACCATGTACTCCTGAATAGGAGATCGACCCATCTGATGCCACACTTACTGCATAGAATTTTCCAAACCGTTGATATTGTGTGGAGGGAGGGGGGCTTTTACATTCCTTTTAAAAATCCAAAATGTGTTCAAAGGGAGTCAGATCCGGGGATTTTGCAGTGCATCATCACAAAAATGCATTTTGGTCAATATCCTTGGGCGTTTAGCACTTAAGTACACCGCTTTAAAGATGATTTAGACTGTTTGAGATGATATAAGAATGCCACTATCACCGATTTCTTATCATTTACATATCATTTAAATTGTTTGTTTTCATGTTTCTAAAAATATTACAGGACAATTTAACACTTTTAACCTAGTGTGATGCAAAATTTGGCCTCAGAAAAAGATCCAGGTCACTTCCGGTTTGATTAAATTTTATCCAAAGCTTTCAAATTGTGATAAAATGGCAGTATTGATGAAGCGCAGCCTATAGAAAAATGTGTTTGAATGGATTTTGATACTGGTTCTTAATTTTTATAAGTAATATCAAGGACAATTAAAAGCTAAAATAAAAGTGAGTAAATCGTGTTGCAAGGATGATCCAGATATTAACACTCCAACACTATCCCTTCTTTCTCAATGTTCATTTTGCCAATGTTTTGTGTTTTTAGTTAAACCAGTTTTTAAAATTTGATAATGATCACAAGAAGATGCTAATGACACAAAACACGTGTTGCAAAATACAAATTTACTGTTTTAACCTTCGTCACAGAACGTCGGTAATATTTGATTTTCTTTCCACGGTTCTTGAGATTTATTTGTTGTAATAATTTGAAAATATCATACCATTCTATAAAGTGGTTTTTAAATAAATACATTTATTAGAGTGAACACTTAGAAGTTTTGTTAAGTGTATTTACTGCACCATAGAAGATAGGTTAAAACCGAAACAATATGTTCAATTGTAATCAATTCTAAATATGGCAAATACTTGAGCCCGTCCTAACAAACAATTTTTATACATTGTAGGGATGTTAAAGCTCTCAGACATTTTTTACTGAAATTTGAAGAGTTACTCTCAAATAATTTGTCATATCAGGCTGAATTAATTATGGCATACCGTTTTCTGAATGCTAAGAATACCATTGACACACCAACAATCCCCATCAACCCTGCAACGGATGCAACAGTGACTTCTACCGAGTTATTGGTTGCCTCATCTGTAATGAAATATTTGTACTAAAAGGTAATACTATAAAACATAGTCTAATCCTGTAAGTAACATTGTTACCGTGCTATATGTTTAGGGCTCTGGCTTGGACTCATTAGGTTTTTTACGCAACATTTTACACAATGATTCAAGGTACAAACATACATTAAATATCATCTGACAGAATGATGCACTCCTCAATGACACCTAAATATTTCATTTCATCTTATGTTTATTTTGTTGATACCACGCCCCCTCCCCGCCCAGCCTCTTTAAACGATAGGTGTGACTCCTGTGTGACATTTACTAAAAACATAAATTTGAAATATTTTTAAATGGTCTATCTTTTTCAAATTTTTATTACACAAGTTTATTTATGTAAACCCACTGACAATAGTTTAACTCTTTTGATTTGTTTGTTGAAAAATGTTTATTTACTTATAAATGTTGAACGTCCATATAAACATATAATGCAGAGAAAATTGAACAATTGAAAATATAATCAATTTTGTGTCAATAGATATCAAAGGTGGGGTATAAAAATTCGCCAATTTAAGGATGTAAATTAAATATTTTTGTTTTGTTTGTTTGTTCTTGTTGAACGTCTTTATATGGAAAAACGACCACTGACCAATGGAGATTTAGCAGAACAATCGCCAAAAGAGAATAAAACGCAAGATTTTGTTCAAAAAGTTTTTAATGTCATGACACTACGGATTAAACGATTACATGTCAAAACAAGTGCTTGTGCAAAGAAAGTACAAGTGTTCTTAGACTAATTATACAAATGTAACAAACTGAAATAATATTCATTAAATTGCATCATATACTGGAATATTTGAACAAACAGATTTCAATACAAAGAAATTTATAACTACTGTAATGAATGAACGATGAGAAAAATAATACTGAGGTGTTTTTTAGCTGTAGTTACCTGACATTCATAAAAGATGACGGATTTCCTCACTTTTAATGCCAGTGAAAACATGTGAAGAAAAGTTCTGATACATTTATTTTTTTTTATTTGAAGATGATAAAAGATGCACTTGTATGTATGTTACATTTGAAATTGCAAATAATTCTAAGAACAAAATCTTCAGGTATACATTACACTCTCTATCATATCTTCTTAAAATTTAAGAGATGAGAGGATAATTCTTTGAGGAATAATTCCTTGTGGTTTAGATTTACAGCTGTCTTATCATGCTCTACAGGAGTAGCCACATCATAAATATAATTCCTATGAAACGGTAAATGAACACTCTCCTATCTCTTTCTTCATCTTCCATTGCTTGAGCAGGTTTATTTTCGCGATAGTTCTCTTTTCGATCAATGTTCTTGATTCTTAGTGAGGATGATCTCTTACATTTATAAGACAGGTCATAATTGTCTTTAGATCGAACTAAATTGCATGCAGAACTTTTCATATACGTTGAAGAGGAGTCGGAGTATCTTCTAACGAGGCGTTTCTTCTTGATTGGTTCCTCGTATCCTGTTACACGGAGAGTAAGTGTATGATACTCTCCGTCATCAAGCTCATCCTCGTTATGACGTCATCTAGTTTCTTCTTCCGTTTTTATGGTTGCATATTCATCAACTGGTGTTTCATCAGAGATTGCATCATGAAGTATATTGGTCGAAGAAGGCATTCTATGTAGATTGACGTCGTAAGGAGGAATATCTTTTGAAAAAATAAATATGAGAGACATATTACTCTTTCTGTCATAACAGAAAAGAATAAAGAGAAAGATTAAAAATAATCAAATTGAAACAAAAAGAAAAATGATTCTGAAGGCATGAAATAAAATGAAAAGACGAGTTCCAATACAGAACTTATTATACACAATCAAGTATACTGATTTACCGACGAAATTCTCTGCAGACGATTTCTTTTGTTTTCGCCTGTAAAAATATCATTAAGACACGGTGATATAAAGTCGTAAAAAAGTGTATCATATATAATTTAAAGATAATTTTGTTGAGACAAGAGTAAACTTGAACTTTCTACTGATATTTGAGAAAAAATGTCTTACTTTTGTTGAAAGCATTTCCCCAGGAAGAATATAAACATGTAGTTTTTGTTAAATCTTGGTATTGGCTTGTAATTGATATATTTTTCATATTCAAATATTTCATGAATGCCATTGTTTAAAATGTGCAGGAATGTTTCCACCTTTGGGCTACTGTTGATAAAACAAGCAAGATGCCAAAGTTAAATGTAAACTCTGTTTATAGTTCCACTGAGATTTTGATCGTCTAAAGTTTGCCATCCAAATCTCTGCCCTTCTCCACACTTTAAACGTTTCTGATTTTCTCAAAAATCACCTCTACAATTTTATCCAAAGTTGCCACAAAATATACGTACGCTGTATATAAGGGGGATGATTTATTGCTGTAATGAAGTGCAAACACTTATTCAGAGGGAATTTGCAATCTTGGGATGAAGTCTAGTTCATCATATTGTGAATTTCATCTATCTTCAAAATACCAGGGTTATAGAAGAATTTCAAAGAACTTATGTACTTCTTTTGACCATCAATATACCCTACTTCCTGCTCTAGCACAAAAATATCAATTAAATTTTTAATGCTACGAATGTACATCCTACAAGCAACAAACGCCGGTGAAAAATTCCTCAACAAATGGTTGAAAAGTACACTAAATAATTCGAGTGATACATAAATAACCCCATTAATCAAAATAGAAGTTTTCCACTCATGACAAAGGGTTTTATCATACGAAAAACGCCGTTAACCTTAACGGTGCATATCTGCAAATACAGCATATCATACACTTGTCACACCAAACTGTTCCAACTCATTTTACATCTCCAATGTTGATTGTCATATATTTCCATTTCAATTTTTTTGTGATAACTCTTGGAAAATTGGTGAGTTGAATTCTATATAATTCTACTAAATTTAAATTTCGTCAAGCAAAAGGCCAGGAGCTATGGAGGCCTGATATGGATGTAAATCTTTGGCCGCGGGTTTCGTGTCTGAAGTCAGTGAGCGGGGACTTTGTCAAAATTGACATGGGAGGTCTACGTTGAATTCAAATCTATTAGTCAACAATTTTTTAATCGAAATATTTAACTTTATTTAACGAAATAGAAATATAAGGAATCGCTGTCTGTAATGTTGGGTATAATAGGGCATCGCCCGTTATGCAAATTATTCCACGTTTCCAACCATTGTCGATGCCCTGGCATTGGTATCTAACTAGCAAATTATATCATAAATATATATATTTACAATTTAGTCACATAAGTCAAATGGTTTATGCTACAGACTGAGAATCAAAACCTGACTTACTGCTTCCAATGCCTTTTTACATGCTATCTGACAGGTAAACTAACCTTTACAAAGTAAACCACGAGTCCCTTTCGGACACTCTAAAGAACAGTTTTCGCCATATGTTCCAGGTGGACACACTAAAAGAATTGTTTGTATTTTAAAATAATAATCCTTAAATTGCATGATAACAAAAACCAATTAAACCAAAACAAAATGGCGTGTTTTATCTTCCTTATGTTTTCAAATCTGTTGATTAAATCTTCAGAGTATAACATTTTGACCACTTTTGTTCCCTATTGTTAAATATTGGCATTTAAAACTTCTCGTTCACACACATAAAAACTTCTGATATTTTCTCAATCGGAACTTCATTTTTTTAAATAATAAAAACATGTTAATTCTTACATGAAAGCTTATATAGTCATTTGGGAGTATTATTAGTGATTGTTTTCTAACAGACGACTTTTTAAATTACCCCCCCCCCCCAACAAGTGCTGATATTTATTATTTCCATATTTACTATATTAGAATGATTTACATTCCTCTGGAAGGCTGTTACCTTTACATCCTTCTATTGAGTCACATGTTTCATTGATGGTGCAATTACACTTTGACATGCAAAACATTCCATACCATCCTGTTAAAGCAGGTTCGTGAACAATTCCTGCCAAATGTACCAGGTGGACATTCTTAAAGGAAAAGAAATAAACAGATATATACAATCATGTGAATCACTGGTTTATATCAATTGCTTTGTGCTACATGTAAATTTCTTTAAAAACATTATAACAGTGTATATTTATTATTTTAAGCGGTTATTATTTAAATACTTACCTTTACATGTGTTATTGACTCTATGGTAATTTGCGCAACAAGAAATCAGATTTCTGAAAATAAATAATTGTAGACAAATTCAATAAATATCGCCCTTTCTTCATGATTTATTTCAAATAAAATTTCTTTTCTCTTATTCCAAATGGAAGCTCTTTTCACCAAGACGTGTTTGAATTGATACATCAATTCAGAAAATAATAAAGATAAGAGCTGTTTCGATCACAAAAAATCCAAACAATGCACAGTGAATACGTAATAAGGGCACAGGAACACGGACCCCCGCCATAGGATACGTGCCTAGGGGAGTATCATCCCCTTTTTGGACCGTTCATATTGACTAAGAAGACAATATACTGATCCATATACTGGTCTGGAAGACAAAATATTCTGTAGAAAAATTAATTGTAGAAAGGATTAACGTTATAACAATCGAAGACTTACCCATAGGAACAATCTCCTGTGTTTACTGTGGAAGACAATTTTACCGATGATCAACTATTATAAAAATCTCCTTATTGAACATATTCAAAATCAGAAAAATGATATAGATGTTAAACTCTGTTTAATCAGGAAGTTATCCAGAACATTGAAACATAATATTAATGCATTTTTAATTTTTTGGAAAGTGGATTTTCGATGAATAGGTTTTGTTCCAACTATATTCCGTATCCACATACTTCTTTGCTCCATTGCATTAGATATTCCAGCAATAAATATTAATTCTAGGCATGATTTTCACATGAGTAATTGTGTTCTCTGGTGATGTTGACCGCTATGTACTTGACTCATTTCGGGAAATAAATGCACAAATATTAACAGATTTATAATTGGAAAAAATCCAAACTACATGTATATCCTTAAATGGAATTTTTTTAAGTAGTACGCTTTTAGCAAACATCACCAAGAACATGAACGTTCAAAAGCGTTTTTTAAATTTCAATTTTTTAAATTAATTACCCTAGATCTCCCTCTGTTCATAACTTAAGTTTCAGATACATGTAATGCTCGATATGCTGGTAAGACTGAAATTAATTTTCCTCTATGTACAGAATAAGAAACCTTATTCCAGCATCTCAGTATTATTAAAGAAGTTTAATTACTTTCATTTGGTTTTGTAAGCAAGGAAAATATATCTTCTAGTTTGAGATATGTTAAAGCTTAAAATTGATATGGATTCATGAATCTATCAAAAATCATATTTTATTTTAAAGTCCATTAAAAAAAACATCAATTTAAGCTTCATGACGTTACACAATTTCCCAATTATATTCATTTAGGAAACAAGAAATACATTAAAGATACAACAATTCTTTGCATTAAATCATGTGTTTAAGACCGCTTTCAGACATCTCCAGCACCTGATCCCACCTCTGATGCTTTGGAGGTCCTTGATTGCTCTGCTCCTATTTTTTTTTATTATTTATTTATCTATTTATTTTTTTGTATATTTTTTTATTTTGAATACTGTTTAGTTCTATCTGCATATGATTCATCTTAATGCTGGCTTAATGGTCGTTTTTAGGCACCAATTAGCACCATGCACTTAAGCTGTCATTGATCATATTTATTATTATATATACTTATCATTAGTAAATTATTTAATTAAAGCAGCGACTCAAAGACCCTTGGCAAAATTCATTTTCACATTCCATCGAATAAGTTTTTTTTCAAAACAATTACCATCTTCTTCGTTATCAATAATTTCTCCGAGTGTAAATGACAACACTAAACAGAGAATAGTCAACCAAGAACAGAAAAAATGAAAACATATTAATTTCTTTAAAAAGTGTGGTTTAATATAATCTTTTTGAAAATTTCCGAAATGGTTTAATAACTGGTATAAATTTGCTCATTTGAAACAGGGAGTCATCTACAATATATTGAATAGTTTTAAAATCAATCTTTGAATATTCGGTTCGGTTCATGTAATATGCATTTTAAGCATGTAAGCATCGGAATAAGCATTTGATATTCAAGCTCGCCCTTACGATTAAAATTTACACCAGGAATAGTGATGTCAGATGTCAGCTACATGTATGTATTGGAACCAAAGTGATCTCTAGTGATAAAGACAATGTTGTACATGGCTGATTTAAGGAAAGAAATACAAAATCGTTAAAAAATCTATAACTGAAAAGTTTCAAAATTAAATTTATATTTTTATACGGAAATTTATTTCAAGTACTATAATTTTAGTTCTACTTGGCACTGCCTATAAAAAGCTCGTTCTTTTTTTTTATAAACATATTGTTCTCTTATGATATACATGTTTATATACGTTTCTTCATAGAATTGAGAAAAAAATCAGGAGGTGTCCATGTTTTCAATTTGATGATTCATTATATTTCATTCATTATTTAAGGTAGTATAAAACACCCCAGGATTTATTTTTACTAATTTCTTTAAAAATACTGGAGAAGAAAAAAGAATAATATTACTTTATGAACAACAATGGATGACCCTGTGAAAAAATAACAAGTTTTGGCATGATTGCTTCATATTTTGTGTGTAAAAAATCAGAGAATCCTCTATAATTGGTCACTTGGGAGCTAATTATGATTGATTTATTGGTTAATTGTATATTGTTTTACATCCCTCTCGAGAATTTTCACTCATATGGAGACGCCACCACTTGCCGGTGGAGAGTTGCAAACTTTATCCTCTATTCGGCACTTAGGGCCATTGAGCAGGAAGAGGTCTTTTTCGTACCAGTATCTACTGCGACGCGGCGCCTCTGTTTATACTGTCTCACACTACTGGCTTTTAAAACCGCTGTCCGTATGAAAATCCACGCAGTACAGTTAAGGTGCGCAATGGAAATATCGACTAAATTTTGTATTTAAAAATGTACCCAAAATCGGGATGGCGATTATTTTTAGTACATTATTTATGTCAGATAATTGTAATTATGATTAATAACTACATATCGAGGACGATTAT